GCAGTGTTGGTCCTGCAGAGTCCCGGCAACATGGCTTCTTGCGTCGATTGATTTCCTACGCAGCAACTGAAGCAGAACCCCACCCAAAGTATGCCAAATTATTGTTGTACCGTAAAACCTCCTGGACCCGCATCTTCTGGATCTTTGGGTGGCACCGGATGCAAAACTATTTCTGGGCTGCTAAGCTTAGGTTTAGGGTTTAGGGCTAAATGTAGACCCATGATTAATAACCCCCCCGCCTTTTGAGAGCCTAAACATTAGGATCCCTGGGATTATTCCCATTAATGGGGGCGGGTTTATTCCTCACTGGTCTACACGAAGATTTAGGGTGTTGGCCCTAAACCCCAAACCCGAAACCGGTTGGGGGTCTACGTTTTGGAGGGGGGTATGCTGAGGATCGCACAGGGTGCCTGGTAGCGGGACTCTGGAAGGAGTCATATTCGGAATTGGGTGTAGGGGTTACGGAGGTATAGGTATGCGACTTGTGTGTGTGTGTTTCTGGTCAAGATTCCCTAGGGGTCCAAGTATCTAACAATCATTTACTTACCCAAAACCTGCACTATAATCACTACTACCCCAAACCCTAAACCCTAAATAGTAGTTTCATTTTCTTTTCCATTATCCCAATATATCCCCAATATAGCCGTCTCTAATTATTGGGCACTTAGGGATTAAGGGATTGTGAGAGCTGGGTGAGGTTTTGAGGGCATCAAGATGCATGACGCGTATCTTTCCTACAGCTCCCTATATAACATTGGGCCAGAATTTCGGGTTTAGAGTTCACGGCCTAGGGTTTAGGGTTTAGGGACCACCCATACCAACTGCGATAAAGACGTTTGCGACGCCTAAGGGAAAGGCTCATGTTATACGCATGAGACCCCCTGATCCTTAAACCAGCCCCCTTAGCTGGTTTAAGATGTTTGAAGCATACTGGGACCTAAAGGGATATGTAGGGTTTAGGCTTTAGTAATATCATTTACAATAGTTTTATGGAGGACGAAGTGGAAAAGAACATGGAAACTGAGATTGCGCAGTACCTTTGGCTCAACGCCTGCTATCAATTTAATCTTGTTGTAAGTTGCCCTTGTCGCAGCCTCCCAGCCAGCTGTGACCCACGTCCACATTGTAGAATGACACGGATAAGCGGCGTAAGGGCTACATACAACCAAAGCCTTCGCGGTTTGGTGTTTAGGGTTTCGCGATACTATCCTCAAAAGGGAGAATCAGATCGAAAAGGGAATGGACAATGCCATTGAAATTCATTATGAATACTAATGTGTAAGCAGTAGCTTTCATACCGACGGCAAAAAGGAAACCCTGATTTTGGAAACCCCCACGCCTTCATCCCTAAACCCAGCACATCCCTGTATAACCCGGTACAACCCCTATGTCTCTTTGTCTCCTGTAAAGATACCATGAACTCTCCAAAAAGATTTGTGCGCTCCAAAACGATACAGCTAAAACCCTGAATCCTAAACCTTAAGCCCTACACTCCAAACCCTGAACCCTGAACCTCAAACCCCAAACCCCAAACCCTGACCTTAAACGCTTAATGTGATAACCGAACCAGGACTATGTGCTCCACTTCCGGTGCTATGTGGCTATGGGCAACGTGAAGGATGCTGAGAAGCTCTTCCATCAGCTGGACCTGAAGGCAGGGAAGCGGTCGGGGGTTAGGTTGTATGGTTTATGGGCCGATTTAGAGGGATGATACAAGGGGTCATTTAGGAGGATGGGAAACCACATGGAATCTACTGTACTGTTTAGGGTCTAGGGGACAGTGGAGTATCACATGGAAACGGAACCTGGAACATCAAAGAGCAACTAGGGTTGTGTGGGCGAGTATAGGGAGTTGCTAGAATCCCAAGAGCATTATGCTTTCAACCCTAAACCCTAAACCCTAAACCCTAAACTAGCAGGGTTCCAGGGAAGGTGGCTCTTACTCGTAGCTTTTTGGGGTTCAAAGCTAAAGTTAATTACCCATACCTTTAGGGGGAGCTAGGGAGCTAGGGATAGTCTATATCAACATAATAAGGGGAGCTAAAGAGCCCAGGAATCTCCAAAACCACAGGGGAGTTAAGGCCGAGGATTTGCGTGTCTCCGGGGGGTTCAAGTTTGGTGGTGTCGGGTTTCGGGTTCATTGGTTCTGCGTGTGTATCATTACTAGTCTTGTCTCTGGGTTAACACCATCTTCTTTTAGCATTACTGCCCGTCAGCCACAAAAAGGTAATGGTGCTGATCTTACTTACTGGCGCGTAAGGGGAAGTGGGTAAAAATATAGATCTTGTTACAAGAGAGATGGTAGACTCCAGAAATAGGAGAACCCCAGTATAGACCGCAGTATTTTATAATCCCTCTTATGGAGATTCCCACCCCTGACCCCCATTTTTTGGGAAACCGTAAACCTTTAGTTTTTAGGATTAGGCTTTAGGGTTTAGGGTGCCTGGCTGGGGACTCTGCTCGCAGACGAGGCTCATTTTAGGATTAAGTTGATGCCATGGTCTTCAACTGACATTGAACACCGACGCCCCCCAACCTCCCCCAGTAATATTCCATTTGTCGCCCAATGGGAACTGTTAGTATTGGGGGTGGGGAGGGGTGTAATATCAGTATGAAGGGATAACCCTAAACCCTAATCCCTAAATCCTAAACCCCAATCTCTAAACCCTAAACCCTAAACCCTTAACCAGGATGACTCTTGTTGGCGCTTAAGGGGGGAGCTGTGGAGTGAATCCCTACACAACTCCTTGGTGAATCTCCTATCAAAAGTACGTATATCTTGGGTACTGCCCCCACCCAGTAACAGTCTATATTTGAGGTCCTATTAACGGCTATATATAACCATACCATAATATTATCCAACTGTTATTGAGTGGGAGCAGTACCCAACGAATTTTTATATTCCTTTGAGCACACGTAAGCAGGTTTGAAGGCAGGGCAAGAGATTGAATCCTTTGCTGGGAGGGTGTTTTTTAGGGTTTAGGGTCTAGGCTTGTGTTCCAAGACGTTAAGTTCGTAACCTTGAGGTTTGTAGCCTTGGGTTTGGGGTCCCAAACATCCTGATTAAGGGCCGTATTCTCCTGAGATCCAAACCCAGGGGTGCAACACCTAAGGGTACAAAGCAAACCCACGAATAGATAACACTATATGACGCCTTGTGAACCCCTATATAAGCCTCTATACTCCCTTTGAACCCGTATAGCCCCTTTGAACCCCTATTATATAACCCCATATGGAATACACCATTGTAGAAAGATGGGAAGCTCCAGCAGCAAGGGTTCAGCGGTGCAAATTTCTGTATGGAAATTCCCGGATAAAACTCTGGAAGTTCTTGGAGGGTCAGAGAGGCTGAGTAAGGGGTTGATATTGGGCACAGCTGTTGTTACCATATTGCTTTTAGGGCTAGAGGTACGCAAAGTCCCCTGACGCCCCAAGATAGATCTGGAATGCTTTGGCTAGCAGAGTCGTACCTGCAGTTCCCCTACTTGTGTCCCTATGAGCTGTCCCAAACGTGGATGAGGGCTGCCTGTTCGGGGCGTGTGTTTGAGGATTAGGGTGCATAGTGCATATTCTGCATACCCCAAACTCTAATCCCTAACTCCTTTGGGGTATTGAGGCCTCGTGAATGTTCAAGAAACTTTGCACCCCAAACTCTGAACCCTAAACCCTACACCCACTGAAGGACTCACAGGCTCTAGATGAAGGACTCACAGGCTCTAGATGCTGGACTTGCGCCCTATGTAACCCTGCGCCTTGCACCAGGTTAAGGGTGTATGTAGTCTATGGCGTTGATAGGGTTTATAGTTTTTGTTTGGTTTAGGGCTCCGGGGTGTGGGGTTTAGGGTTCCCGCAATCTTCTCATAGTTCCGATACACATACTTTTCTAGGGTCCCTAGAGTTCCTTTTTTTCCAGACACCCCAAGAGCCTGTCTATAACGCCCCTATAGACCCTGTAGATTGGACACTGCCCCCACTCATGACCATTAGGATAGTATTTTTGGTATAACATGAACCGCACTGTAGACTGTCAATGGGTAGCGCAGGACCTTAAACCCGAAACCAAAAGCGACAGGCCACCACTTTGATGCTGAACCTTCTACTCCTGACCTGCGTGAACTGCGAACTACCAGAGAGGGGCTTCCAGATTCTGCCGCGGGCTTGTGGTTTTTAAGTTATAGTCACCCTTAAGTAGATAGAATATGGCTTCGGGCATGTGAAAATGGGATCCCCGTATACTCCATATTCTATCTACTTGAGGGGGACTATAGGGTTTAAGGTTTGGCTTTTTTCCAGGGTTACGCAGGGTTTCAGATGCTGGCTTTTCAGTTGACGGGTTACCCTCCTGCAAGTCCCTTAGGCTTAGGGTTTAAGGTTTAGGGTTTAGGGTTTAAGGTTTCGGGTTGTAAAACGAGCAGTGCACTGCACAGAGGGCGGGGCTTAGGGTTTCGGGGCTGTTGGTCAAGGGCTTTAAAATTTAGACTGCAGGGACTCAGCCCGTGTGAGCACAAAGCATCCCAGTACTTGGAGCGGCAGGGGAGACTTAGTTAATACGGTCATAAACCCTATAGGCCATGTATTATATGAGCCCTGGGCTAAATTTGTAACATATCCCTTAATAAGTCCCCCCAAAACCCTATATGTTACCGCATAGGTCCCCCCAACCTAAATTCAGTCTGTAGCTCATATAACCGGATTCTTCCCATCATTCTCCTGTTTACTAAAACCCCTGGCTCTCCACATGTCTATCAAGCACAGACATTAGGCAAAAAACGGCAGGAAGCGGTGGAGGGAGGCTTAGAAGAGGAGCTCCAAGCGAAGGTCTCCGGTGGCGAGGCTGGCTCGGGCCAGGGCGGGAGGCAGCTCGTAGAGATTCTTTGCCTGTCAGGTAGTGGAGGTGGGCAAGGAGGAGACTTCAAAAGGCTTCCACCTCGGACGAGGCGGGTTGCCATTGCAAGCAAGCAGTGGGGTTCTTGATGGCACCCTGTGCGCATGCGCGGGATCGACGGCTGGAGGAGGCGTGGGCTGAGGTGGAAGCCACCCTAGGCGGGGCGAGCCAGGGCCAGGCCGGGAGCTGCCTCGCTTTGCACGCTTCCCTCCGCGTGTAGCATTCTCTTCAGTCAGGACACGGCGGCGGACAGGCCCTGGTGGGTGCGGCTGGGGGTGAACCAACCCCGCGGCCCATTCGCCCGCCGGGGTACAAATTCAAGCTGCGCCCCGTCAAGAAGCCGATTGAGATCCACGATAGCGTCCAGAACTCAGAGGGCGGGGTATGTCGGCACGGCAGGCAGCTTCGTTCACTTTGCTCTTGCTTGCAGGAGTCAGAAGAGTATCTCTTGGCGGGGCGCAGATACGCCCGGGCTGGACCCAAAGAGAGATTGGCAGCGCAGGCCGGGTGGGAGGGAGAAAAGCTGGGGCCGCATCAGTGGCGTCGCGTTCGCGCTCGCTATTTTGTCCTGTCCTGACACGTCCGCTTGCCAGGCCCAAGTAGAGCAGGAGGAGGATGAGGCAGTGGAGGAGGAAGGAAAGAGGGCCAAAAAGAACAAGCACAAAGCCAAGGCGGGGTTGGCGCAGGGCAGCAATGGCAGCAGGCCAACATGTCCCTTCGCGCCCGAGGCACGCAAAGAGCAGGATAGCCTGACTTGGACTTATAAGAACGGCCGCTTGCATCTCGTGCCACAGGCAGGATGTTTGCAGTGTTCCGTGTAGAGCTTTCCTTTCTCTGCACACACGGCTGATGACCAGGAGCCGGAGAAGAAAGCCGGCAAGAAGAAGTCCAGCCCGGGCAAAGGGAAGCCACTGCGTGGAGCTCGAAGGCTGTAGTACTTAGGCCTCCGGGTTGAGGTTTAGGAGTTTAGGGCCTAGGGCTGAGGGTTTAGGAGTTTACTGCAGGGTTTTGTGCTTCATTGTTCGTAAGTTTTGGCTGGGATGTCTTGGGATGGTTTTTAACAGTAGAAAAGGGTCACCGGCTCTTGTTTCATAAGTACACAGGGTTTATTACAGAGAAAACGGTAGTGGCTCTCGCTTCATGAGTGCAGCGAGTACATTACAGAACAAATCGCTACTAGCTCTTGTTTCATGGGTTTCCTAGAGTTGCACATTTGGCACTTGGGTTTAGGGTGGCTCTGGGCTGAGTATTTTGGGAGTGGCTTGCTTTAAGCTCAAGGGTTTGTGAAGCTTTACGGGCTGCATCGGAGATTCCAAGGGCTTAGCTCCCAACCATCCAGATTGTTTGAAGTGATAATTTTTCTCTCCCGAAGTAAAATACCCACTCAATCGCGGAACACCGTATCGCTGCCTAGCTATTTTGATAAGCAAACAGGACAGGCTTTTGAATTTCAAATCGGCAGGATTCTTTGGGTTTAGGTTAGGAGCACCCCCCAGCCTGTATAGTGGTAGAACACGAGTATAAGAGGACCCTAATATATTCCTTATGATCCCTTATAGTTACTATTAAGGTGGGGGGGGTCCTCCTAAGGTTTACGGCCTAGGGTTTAAGATTTTGCGCTGACTCTCGGATTGACAGGTTCGGATCTTGCCCGAGTGCTTGGCCTCCGCGTGGGTTTAGGGCTTGGGGCTTGTTTTATGTGAGCTATAGTCTACGTAAACTCCTTAAAGGGGGTTATATAGGGGAGTATTATAGGGGTTATTTAGGGTTATTGAGGTGGATACTAGAAGTCTAGACTATAGCTCATGTGGGGTACTCCTCAAAGTAAGCCCGGTGCCCGTGATCCGGCCCTAATCCCAATATCTCCCTGTGTCCAAAACCCTGACCACCTTTAAGCCAAACGCCACAGCCAGAAAGTGCACAGCTTTATGCTGGTAAGTCTCACAGTTGCTGAAAGTAGAAGGGGGGTGAAAGGGTCAATCCTTAGAGTTCCCCCTATTCACTTCCGCGGTAAGCACCAGCAAACAATTGGGCACCTGGGCTTTTGCCAGAAACACAGAGGCTGTCCGCCCACGAGCGGGAGAAGCGGATGAAGGAGAGGGTGCTCAAGGTGCCTTTCAAGTTAATCGCAGAAGTTACTCCAGGACAAATACGGATATGTCGGGTTGGGGGTTCAGGGTTGAGCATGTAGGGTTCACAGCTTAGGAGGGGTTTAGGGTTGTTCGGTTTAGAAGAACAGCGGGGCGGCTCAAAACCGGAATTCTGGCAGATGGACAACGTCGGGCATTAGATAGGAGACCAGATACTTGCGCGATTCAGGGTTTAGGGCCCAAAGGTATGAGATAGTGCAAGGTTCCAAGCTTGAAGCCCCAAGCCCGACATCCGCCGTAAAGAAGAGAAGGTTGCAAGTTTCATTGCTTAGACCGCAGGGTTTAATTGGGGCGTATGGTAACCCCTCTATCAACCTAGATTCTATGTCATTGCCAATTTGATTTCGCCTTTGCTTCTCCATTATTGGAGCCTGGGCAGGACAACACTCAAGGTATAGCCGGTTTATAACCCACATCCCCTCATAGTTGCTACTACAGACCATTATAGACCCAAACCCTAAACCCCTAGACCCTAAACCCTAAACCCCAAACCCTGACCAACTAATGGAAGGAGCCCTTGGTGGACACAGTTTCCTACAACACCATCATCAAGGCCGCATGGGTTTTACCCTAAGGGTCCATGTACGTAATGATCAGGCCCCTTTTAAGAGATATATAGGGATATATAGGGTTTAGGGTTTAGGGTCCATGTACCCAATAATTGGGTCCTTGGGGCTTTGGCACCAGCAGTTGTAGTACAGGTTTTGGGTCAGTATAATATGATTGTTGGGTACTTGGAGCCTCCGGGTTACTGTTGAGACAGAAAACCTGCAAGACCTTAATATACTTTAGTATCACCATTCCTAAGATATAGGGTACCTAGGGTCATGCTAAACTTTTAGTACCCGCCGTATGAACCCCTAGAATTGCTAGACGTTACCGGTGTAGCGGCTTCCTGTCCCCTAGTTTCTGTCTAAAAGTATCCCTAAACCTTGAACCCTAAAAGTATGGAACGCACACCAGGAAGCTATCATTTAGGGACCTGGGCTTCTAGAGAACTTTGATCTTAAACTAGAAAATATGGTTCATCATAGAAATAATAAGACTAATCATAACCATAGCACTAATAATACAAGTATAGATAACAGTAATGATAGGAATAAGGTCTTCCGTGTGCTTTGGATTTTGGGGTTCACCCTCCAGTACGCTAACGTGGAACCTTTTGAGGTTGCACGTTGATGGGCTTTGGCTTCACGGGAATCGTTTTATGGAGTAGCGTCTGCTGGTGTTCATTGGTGGTCATGTAGATCGAGTTTGGCAGTTTCGCTCAGGGTAGTATATGGTAGCATTCCCTTTAGAGAAAAAGACAGTACATGGTACACCAAAACTGGATAATTTGGCCGCTCGTACAGGGAAGCCTGAGGTTTCCGCATTGCCTCTAGAACAACCTCACTGCGGGAGCGCCAAAAACCCGTTGAAGTCCACATATCTAAATGGCCCTCGTGTAGAGAAACTCCTAACCCATAAGCCCGAAGCCTTGGATCCTGATTGGCAAGCCAAGCAATCCCTATAGAGTTTCTGTTACAGTGAGAGCCGAAAAGTTGGAACATCAACATCTTCGTATCCAAGAGACCTAAGAAGCGGCGAAAGCAGCATGAACTTTTCTGCTTCCATGATGCAAACCCTACTTCTGCAACCTTGGTTCCTCAAAAACTAGCCTAAACCCTGAACACCTACGTAAACCCCAAACCTAAGCTTACTGGTGGTTAGTAGGGCATAAGGGAATCTTTTAACAAGGCATTACATTGCCTTCTTCCTTACTAACCACTCGTAAGTAAACCTAAACACCCAAACCATAAACACTTAAACCATAACCCTCAACCCTGAACCGTGTGCCAGGGCTTCGGTGCAGCCAAATCCCGAAGTGGCTGCTTCGAGTGCATGCGCAGCCTCCTCGAGTAGCATGGCATCAAGACAGATTCGGTGTCTTTAGGGTTTAGGTTTGGGGATCCAGGGACCCCGATCTAAACCTCTACATATTTAGAGTCCGAGGGACTGTGGGCGTGCACCTTTTCCAGTATTACCACACATGAGTGCTTGCAGCATAGCAGAAGGCGCACGCCCAGGGTCCCCCATTTGAATAACCTTATAAACCCTAAACCCTAAACCGTGTGAAATATTATGGCCCTTACTGAAGGGACCCGTAGAACCAGGTACCCCTAATTTCGGTAAGCTCGCACATACATGGAGCGTCCAGGAATGTAGGAGTCCTTCTTGGGTTCTTTTCCTGTAAGAAATCCTTGCATACACTCTCCCTTCATATCTGGACAGCGCACTGCCTAATCTTTGGCTTTATCTGGGGCGGGGCTGTGTTGGCGCATCGATTGTTTTTATAGGCCTGTCTGGAGGTTAGCCCTAGACCCTAATCCCTAGATCGCGTAGGGTTCTGGGTTTGGGGCTAACACCCCGCCCTGTAATAGCGACTATAGGGGATAGCAAGGTTTATATGAGGGTCCTCCCATGCATTTTTTGGGGGGTCTACCCATAGGATGCAGGTCATAGCAGAAATTGTCTGGCGTTTACGTAGCAATCACAGACAGGCTTTTGGAGCTTTTCCAGATGGGGGTGCCCCTCGCCCTATGGGTATATAGGGGTCCCTTCAAGCAGGGATGTAGGGATGCACAGGTTTTACAGTTCAGGAATTGAGTCCCAGGTCTCCTTCATGGGAGTAGCTTTGGGCACGCAAGATGATAGAGTACAGCGGGATAACTTTGGAAGCATTACGGGGCATGTCAAGGGGGATACTAGGAGTCTAGACTAAAGCTCAGATGCAAAGCTCCAAGCCCACAGCAACAATCAGAAGAATTGCGCGTTGTGATTGTTCTGGATCTCTCTGTGGTGGTCTGAGTACTGCTTCCTTGCAATCCCTTGAAGGATCAGGGCTCAGGATTTGCCTCAGCCCTGAATGGAAGACTCCGAAAAGAAGTACATCAGGGTATATGAGCTATGGTCTAAACTCCTAGCATCCCCTTAACAACCTCTATAATAGTCCCTCATATAATCCCCTATATAACCCCCCCTTTAAGGAGTTTAGACTATAGATCATATGAAACCCCTAGTAGTCCCTTTATAACAGCCTGTATCACCCCTAAGTTCAGGCTATGGTCCATGTAGAGGTATACTAGTTCGGGCTTTAGGTCCCTGCCTGGGATGCAGGATTCACGTTGCAAGGGGTGCTTTACACCTTCAGTGTAGTTCCGCTGTTGTGTTTTAAGGCTCTTTGCACGCTAAACCCTAAACCCTAAACCCGAAATCCCTAAAACCGGTAAGCTGGTAGGATTCAGAGATATGACGACGTCAGGTCTGTAGGTAGGTTCTCAGGAACCCTCATCCCGGAGCTAGGGTTTAGGGCTTAGGGCTTCGGATGTAAAGTTTAGGGTTCAGGGTTTAAGGGTTTAGGGTTTTAGGGTTTAGGGCTTAGGGTTTAAGGTTTAGATCTGAACATCCCTAAGCCCCAATTACCTGAACCCCCACATCCCACGTGCAAAGCGCTGGGCAGGCACAACTTGCAGCCAGATGACATCACGCTGGGGGCTCTCTTGGATGCCTGTGTCGCTGGGAGTGATCTTCTGGTCATCAATGAAATTGGCGAGCTTTTGCTGACTCCCGCCTTTGAGTTTTGGGTTTGGGGTTTGGAGCAAGGGATTTTGGGGGTGGGAAGGTTTCCTATAGGTTGCATAGCAGTCGTGGGCTTGTGGTAGTTGCTCGCTGAGACTGCAAGTCCCCCCACAGCGGGAATTTCTGGCTGCCCCTCAACATGTTCTGCCAGAGGCTACTTCAGCATCTCTTGGAATTGTTGCACGTTCTTGCGGGCATCAGAAGCCATGCATCCAAATCCAGATAGTTGTCTAAGAGCCATTCAACGTATCCCGAACCCAGTCCCCTTTACCTTGAAGAGCCACCACTTTAAGAAGCAAAACATAGAGGGTGGCAATATAACAAATCCCTTTACTTCAGGTATGGGTACCCTAAATCCTACACCCTAAACCCTATGTCTTTGGGTGGGCTTCCAACCTGACCTTGTCCATCTCAGCTCGCAGAACCCCAGCTCAAGTAACACGAAGTGGGCTTCAGCTTTCTGTTCCCTTCAGTTACCTAAGTAATGGGTTCTGGGTTCTATATACCCTATAGCTACATAGCCCAGTAACCCACTATTTAGGTAATTGGGAGCCATAGGTGTAGATTTAGAGAAGAGCTATTGCCACTTAGCAACTTAGCTGTAGTAATAGTTGTGCTTCACTTGTAACTGTCCGAGCAAGAATAATAATAGTGTAGCTCGACTATTTTTGCGTTTCTAGGACCCCAAACAACCAAAAGAGCTGGCAGCTGGGATTCTAAAGATCACCCCTAGCTCACAAACTAGGGTTTGGGGTGTAGGGTTTGGGATTATTTAACAAAATGACCACATCTGGCCCAAACTCAGG